GCCTCGACCATACATTACCAGGGACCTGTTAGCCGTGTTACTATGACTAATGTTACTCGTGTTACCGATTTAGCAATGAAGCAGTAACATTAGTTACACTAGTAACACGGATAACACTGGCACGGGTAACACTGGTGACACTGTAATGTATGGTCAAAGGGCCTTAGGGAAGAATGTGATGGATATTCGACAGCACAATTGCAGAGCCAAAGTTTGACTCATCACGTCCCTGTACAGTGCCTTTTCAATTAAAATCACCTGCTCAAGAACCCCATACGATAAAGACTTTTTTATTTCGTCCTTGGAGTTTTAATGGTCACTTTCAGAATGATATTGAAGTCGGAGACAACATGATGATCATGAACATCGCACCAAGCGCATTTTTTACCAACTGCGCCGAGCTTATTGCTGGTATGAGTTCACTTACTGATTAACGGAAAAGTAACTCAAGTTTGTAAAAATTATCAGGTGACCGCATAACGAAAATCAACGGTACGCCCGTGAAGACAAAGGCCGAAGCAGTCGCTGCGCTAAAGGGCTGTGTGGGAAACGATGTAAGTGTGCCTAATGTGACTCTTTAATCAACCTTAATGATAATCGCTGAAATCTACCGTAACACTACAGTAATCCAACCGTCGTTTACAGGTCAAGCTTGAGTTGTTACGGCGTCAATTCACTAGCCCAGTAACGGCAGAACGAGCCAAGAAAATAGGTTTAACACGTCTGGATGGATTTACTTACTTCATGCTCACTTGTACAAAAGTGAGCTGTGAATAGTTTGGAATTTATATTGAAATTTTTCTAATTTTTCAAGGATTCAACTGACCCTGTCTCATCGTTCGGTTTCACACTCAAGCTACTCAAGAATAGAGCACACGTCATTGCGGTTGGTTTAGACAGCAATTGACTTTCAAAACAGGATAAAAAATGTTTCGAAATTTTAGTTGGACCCCAAAGGAATAGCGTCGATTTATTTTTGCATTGGCGATGCATTATTGGATCTTGATGGCACACCAATCCCATTTAATGATATCGAGTTCGTACGAGGTTACACGCAAAAATTCAACAAGTTAGTTTTTCGTTTTTTATTGAGATATACGCAATTTTACATATCATAAATTCTCTGAAACTCACAAAAAATCAGACCTGGGATTTCTTTAGAAGCGCGCAAAATGCTGTAAATATTTTTTTTCGAATGTCCTTAAATATCGCAAGAAAATTTTCAAAAATTAACCCAAAATTCTGAGAAGTCACTCCTCACCTATTTGAAAGTGGAGCTTCTGGTCGTTTTTTGCACCCCCAAATAAGTTTTTTTTACGC